AAGGATGCGTGGAGAACAGAGCTCGTAGCGGCAGGCCTCGGCTCTCCCTTCGCAAAGGGAACCACCATCCTAGCCGGCAAGCCGTCAGTCATCCTACTTATTCACTTCACGACCCCCGTCCCTGCCAATCCTGCTACACACCGAATCCAGATCTCCATTACCAGGATGGAGTAAACCGCTGCCTGAACCCATATATAGATCCTCTGAATAATTTTATAATTAATCAAGAGTTTCGATTTCCTCTGGGGCATTCTGCTGCCTGCTCAGCTTTCAAAGGTTTTGTGCCAGTCAATGAGCATGCTAACCAGGACTCGTGTAGCATGAGCATGTTATGGCTTCCAAAAGAGCCACAATACCTCACTTACTGATGAAGATAAAAACACAACTACACTAAATAATTTCTTATCGATGTGCTCTGAATGCTGAATGTCAAGAATTACTATTAAGATTACTTCACCTACCTTTATATTGAAGTAGCCAAGCTGTCGTACCTGCATACCATATCACGTTTCCCCATTAATATTAAATAACAATGATAATTCTAATAATAATAGCTACACATTATCTTTTTTCTTGTCTGCTTTGATAAATTCACGAAGCCGTGTATAATGGGGCTTTATGCTTAAATATTTTAGTCGACTTTCGTACAAATATTTATGAAAACTTTTTTTTTTTGTTGTTGCCTCAATTCTATGATGGCAGTGTTATATATCGGCAAATAAAACATGCATTTTTCTTGCCAATAACCTTAACTCTGGTTTGTTGTTCCCAGTCGTCTTAACTATGGTCAGGTGCACAGTACCTCTGTAGTTCTGGTATTAACCATGCTCTGGTACGCAGTACCTCTGTAGTTCCTGTATTATACGTCTCTTTCACTGGGTTCATCAGAAAAGACTTTTTTAATATAGAGAAAGACATGCATTACCGTATAGCCTCTTTAAAGGGGGCTGTTTGTCGTGGTAAAAAGGCTCTTGATCTAAGGAATTGGACCTTTTGGTCCTCTTCCTCAGACCGAGCCTAATTATCTCCCAAACCGTCCTTCCTATCCCATCCTCCTCGTCTCCCCTTCTTTTCCCTTTCCTTCCCCCTTCCATTTCTCCATTTTCCCCGTCCCATTTGTAGCCTCTGGGGTCCTCCCCTCTGGCAGTATTATTTCTAGGTAGGTGAAACTGTGCCAGCGTTCATCCCGCTCCGTGGGGTCCCTCGGGAGTGGTGTAGTTTGCTGTGGAATCTGGATCATCTAGAGGATCCATGCTCCCTTACCGGATTTCCAGGTGGGAGGGGGGTGTCTGGCAGGTGATAGGTGTATCTCCAGAGGCTGCCTGTCGGTTCTGGGAGGTGGCAGCCGAAGGAGGTATGCTTTGTGGCTGGTATCAGACAGCCCTCTCCTTTGTCTGCCGAGGCGACTCGGTGGATGTGAAGGCTACTATCCCGGATCGCTGATTTACTGACATGAAGGGTAGGGTATGGCACGGGTTCCACGTTGTATCTGCACTGCTGGCGGTCTTGAGGTCCTCTTGGATGACAGGGGGAACTTAGGGCCCTTTCATACCTTCTAGTAACTGTACCTCCACTGTCCCTCGCCTTTCTTTTTCCCCGCCAGTGTCAGGTCTATCTTAATGCACTTGAAATCCTTTGTCTTAAGGAGAGCGAAAGCCTTATGCAATGGCTGTCTCTCGGCTGCGCCTTCAGGGAATTCTTCCTCGTGTTCCTTATTCTCGAGTAGCTAGGAGACGTCCAACGTTGGTGGTCCCACCGCTTACCAGCTCCTCCAGTGCCGTGTCTTCCGGGGTTACCCCCGTCTCTAATTCTTTTGCGGTTTTACCCTCTGAAACCCCCTCCTCCTTACCTCTTTCTACATTTACTTGTTCTTCATCTCGCCCGCTAGTTTCTTAGTCTGCGAGGCTCGCACGCCTGCACCTTCTTCGCGCCTATCACCTGGGATGTTGAACCTGTCTCCTAAACCCAAGTCTCTTCGCATTCCTCCGGTGCTTATAATTCCCCAACAGTTTTCCTTTCTGGCTTCGGTGCCTAGTTCTCACCCCCTTTCTAACTCTCACACGAAGGTGGAGGTTCACTCCCCTCGTGTGAGGGGGTGAACCTCCCTGTGGAGATGCACTGTCCCCGCCAGTGCATCTCCCCAGGTTCATACTCTCCTCCTCTCTCAGACCTCTTTGGTTCCTTCCATATTCTCCCTGATCTCTTCTTGCTCTACCTCACCTGTTTCTGAAGTCATGGTATCGGCATTTTCCTTGTACGATGAAACACTTGATGCTATCTCCGACTATATTGCAGAGAAAGAACACTCAATAGACACCGGTGCGCCTCCTTATGCCTCCTCTTATTTTTCACAACCCTCGCAGCAATCTTTCCCTTCACAGCCTTCCTCCTTGCTTACACGCTTTCCGTTGCCTCTACACGTTGACTTCACTGACCCTACTAGCCCGTAGATTTTATCGCTTCTCATTGTTGGCATACCTATCTTTGTGAATAATGACTTATTTACAGTGGAATATTCGAGGCCTCAGGGGTAATCAGGGAGAGCTCCAGGTGTTCCTCTCCCAGTTTTCCCAGTATGTGTCGGGGTACAGGATCCTTAAGTTCTGTCAGCGGTTATCCATCCTGTTACGGGCTATGTGCTGTTGCATTCTTCTGATCCCTTTCCTGATGAAACTTTTAATGAGAGTGCGCTTCTTGTGTACGTTGGTAAACCGTTTCAACAGGTCTTTGTTCTTTGTGAAATCTTACTCAGCCCTGTAACAACTTCAGATAGTATTACCAAGGCTGGCTCCTCCTCAGGAAAATTAATGAAATAGAAAAAGAAATAATTCACAAAGATAAACACTTTATTATTTAGTAATGCGAAGATAAAACGTTGAAACATGAAGGTGTATCCTACTTGAAAGAAAAATGAAATGGAAAAATAACAGTTGAATTCATCGCTAATGTGTACAAGTAAAATGGGGTGTCTGGTTGATGTTGACACCGTCTTGTAGAAATTGTAGCCGTTAATGATGGGGGGGGGGTCACAGGTGTTGAGTGACAACCCAACGACTAGTTCTTCACAGAGTCTATAGCCTTGAATAGTCCGTCCAGATGGTAGGCACGCAGGTTCTTCACTACAAAGATGAGGGGTAGGGCCCGGTGCTCAACTACAATTAATCAGGTAGGTAGATCAAAAAGTGACGTCTCAGGACCTTTTTCAGTCCGTCTCCTTCAACACTTTTCGTTGGTTGGCAAATAACCCGAGCTGTCATTCCAAGCTGGAAAGAGAGACAGGTTACCCATTGCTTAAGAAATCACTCTCCATGATAAGTGTAAGATACTTAAAAAAGGTGGTGATTATCTAAAAGTCTCATGTGGAACTTAAAACTGAAAGGACTAAGTTTATTATGGGTCAAAAGTGAAGTTTTCAACCAATATAACCACTAGAATAGGAGCAGAGGCTTTTACTTAGTTGTGCTGGGAGCTGTGAGTCGAGTGATTACTGTTTGGCCGGAGCCCCACACGTCACCTTTCGGGGTGGGGAGAAAAGGGGGGGGGAGATAGCGGGAGCTAGACTGACACTACCTTAACAAGCAGCTGGCAATCAAACTATCGTTACCATATACTCGCTTTCTACTCCTATCTGTTGCATTCTTCTGATCCCTTTCCAGATGAAACTTATAATGAGAGTGCGCTTCTTGTGCACGTTGGTATACCGTTTCAACAGGTCTTTGTTCTTAAGTCACATGTGCAACATCTTAGTATCTTTATTGTAGACGTTTCGCTATCCAGTGGCTTTATCAGGACATAATTTGAAGACAGTTGAACTATATACAGAAAATGAGGTAATAAGTCCCTCAGCCTTGGAGTGGGTGCAAAGAGCAACGTCGTCGTGGATGTTCTGAAGCAGAGGCACTACTACGGTGCTCTTTGCACCAACTCCTACAAAAGTAAAAGACTGGGCAGGCAGTGCAAAATACCCCCAATGAAAAAGTAGGGGCGCCATTGGTACAATAAGAGAAAACATCATAAGTGTCCGGGGTCCAAGAGTGTTCAACAGCTTCTCACCATGTATAAGGAGAATTACTAATAGGCCCCTGGCTGCCTTCAAGAGGGAGCTGGACAGATACTTAAAGTAGGTGCCGGATCAGCAGTAACAAACTGGTTGATCAGGCTCTGATCTACTGGGAGGCCTGGTCGTGGACCGGGCCGTCGGGGCGTTGATTCCCAGAATACTCTCCAGGTAGACTCCAGGTAACTCCAAGGCTGAGGGACTTATTATCTCATCTTCTGTATATAGTTCTACTGTTTTCAAATTTGTCCTGGAATTTGTATTGATAAAGCCACCGGATGGCGAAACGTCTACAATAAAGATACCCAGATGTTGCACATGTCTTAATTTCATCTTGTTGGTACTGTATACCATTCTTGTACAACAAGTCTTTGTTCGTTCTCTGCTGCATTATACAGCAATCCGTAGTTATTTGCACAGGTGGTATACAGTCTGCTCTCTATATATCTCCCCTTCCCGTGCATTCTGTATCTCGGATGTTGCATTCTTGATCTCTTCTCTGCCGCCGCCCATCTTGTTAGGTGATTTTAACACTCGCCTTCATCTTTGGGGAGGGTCCCACTGTGACTCGTGGTGATCAGTTGGAGACTTCTTTCTTCTCATCCTCTTCATGTTTTAAATACTGGTGCTCCCACCTATTTTGACTCTCGCACTCTCTTGCATTGATCTTTCTATCTGTTCCCCCTCGAGGAAGGTTCCTTGATGTTGGTGAGGGGCTCTTGATTTAGGGAATTGGATCTGTGCTCCAGTTCCCCGAATTAAGCCTGAATGCCTTCCACGTATCCCCCCCCCCAGGCGCTGTATAATCCTCCGGGTTTAGCGCTTCCCCCTTGATTATAATAATAATAATCTATCTGTTCCACATCAATTGCCCTTGATTACACTTGGTCTGTTTCCCGGATTTGCACGACAGTGATCACTTTCCTATTATTCTTACTTCTACTACACATTCCCGACCATCTTGTAGCCCCCGTTGGGAATTTGAACGAGCAAATTGGGACTTGTACTCTCATCTTACCACTTTATATAAGGACCCTTCTTCGTCCTCTATTGACGAGCTAGTGCACCAGTTTTGACCTTAGTTTTGACTGCAGCGTCACGTTCTTTTACCTCAGGCAGGCATTTTTAGACATGCGTGCCTTGGCGGTCTCCTGTGCATGCTCGTTCAGTGCGTTTGAAACATGCTGCATGGGGCCATTATCGATATAATCAGACCTCAGATCGTCTTTTGGATTTTAAGCCAGCAAGGGCAGTCGCTCGCCGCGTCATACGCAACGCTAAGCGCACTTGTTGGCAAGACTACGTTTCTACTGTTACCTCGACCTTCCATATGTGTGCGGATTGGAAGAAGGTACGGAAGTTGTGAGGCAAGTACGCTCCGAACCCGGCTCCCGTTTTCCAGGTTACTGGTTTTAGTGTTGTGGAACCTCTTGAGGTTGCCATGGGAATCGGAAACTATCTTGTCTCTTTCTCTCAAGGGATTCACCCCTGTTCCTCGTTTTTTAAGTATGCCAGGGAGCAATCGCCCTTGGATTTCTCTTCTAATGGGATGGAGCCATATAACGTACCTTTCACTCTCCTAGAGCTAGAGTCCATGCTTTCTGCTTGCTGGTCATCGGCAGCTGGGCCAGATAATATTTATATCCGCATGCTACAGTATTCGCATTTTACAGCCCTTGCAGTCCTTCTGCGCCTTTTCAATCTTGTTTGGGCGCGAGGTGTTCTCCCTCAACAATGGAAATCTGCCATTGTACTACCGTTTCGCAAACCAGGCACCTCGGGGCTTGATACCTCTCACTATCGTCCCATTGCTCTGACCAGTGTAGTCTGTAAGGTGATGGAATCATTAGTGAATAGACGTCTGATGTGGTATTTAGGGACTCGCAATAGTTTTTCTCCTCACCAATATGGCCGCTCTTGGATACGCATGTGCGAAATGCCTTTGCTAATAAACAATCCGTCCTAGCAGTCTCTTTTGACCTCTAGAAAGCATGAGACACCTTCCTTTCTAGCTGCTTTCTTATCTGAAAGACATTTTCGTGTCCATGTTGGTGCCTCGCTTTCCTCAGACTTTGTTCACGCCGAGGGAGCCCCACAAGGTTGTGTCCTTAGCACTACCCTTTTTCTCTTGACTATAAATGACCTACCTTCCGTTCTTCCATCGTTTATTTGGTCGTCACTTTGTGGATGACTTCGCTATAGCTTACGCATGCACTGACTGTCTCCTGGTAACAGCCTTCCTTCCCATTGGGCCACTTCTCATGGTCTTAAATTTTTTAGTATGAAAACCCATTTCATTACTTTCACTAGACGTCCTCTTGTCCCAGATATTCCATTGTATCTACATGGCTCACGTATCCCAGAATATGATACTTTTAAGTTTTTTGGCCTTCTGTTCGATAGCCGGTTTACAAGGAAACCTCACATTTCCTTTTTAAAAGCAGCTTGCCATGGTCGGCTGAATCTCCTTAAAATTCTTGCGCATAGTTCATGGGAAGCACATCGTCGGACTCTCCTCAGTCTGCATTCCATCCTAGTCTTGTCCAAGCCGGATTATGGCGACCAAGGCTATTCTGCGGCTTCTTCTACAACTCTTTCTAAGTTAGATCCACTTCATCATCAGTCTACGTTTACGCCTTAGTGCCTTTCGTTCATCCCCTGCTGAAAGTCTCTGTTGAGGCGAATGTTCCTTCCTTAGCTGATCGTCGTAATGCTCATTGCCTTCGTTACTTTGTCCACTTCCATGACCTTAGTGTTCCTTCTACGCATAGATTGGTCTCAGACGTTATTAGAAGCCCGTTATTTGTTCAGTGTCCTGTTTACTCTGACCGTTTTCTCTTAGTCTTCACTCACTCCGGTCTTCTCTCCAGTTGCCTCCCTTGTATGTTCATTTAGCGTCCGACAGTTCGTGTCTTTTCTCCCTTACTACCGTGTGCTAAAGCTCTCCTACCTACGACTGCTTCTCGCTCTCTTTTTCTTGAGCACTTCCTGTCGCATGCTCATGCCGTCGCTGTTTATACAGATGGATCTAAATCTTCTGGCGGTGTTGGGTTCGCGGCGGTGTTCTCTGACGATGTTGTCCGGAGTCATTTGTTAGACTCAGCTAGTATTTTTAGTGCCAAGTTGTATGCCATTCTCACAGCGCTTCTCCCGTATTACATACATGTTTCTTTCGACATATGTGATCACTTCAGATTCCCTCAATGCTTTACAAGCCATTAAACAATTTGATTCCCCTCACCCATTAGTCCTTCGTATTCAGTTATGGTTGCTTCGTGTGGCTAGCAAAAACAAAGACGTCGTTTTCTGTTGGGTCCCTGGACACGTTGATGTGCAGGGCAATGAACAGGCGGATGCTTCTGCACGGTCAGCAGTGCATGACTCTTGTCGGTTTAGCGCTTTATTATTTGATTATAATAATTTCGACCGAAGATCTTAGCAGTGTCTTCGCAAACCTGTAAGAACTAGGAATCGCTAGTTCTGCACTATGCTTCCCCAGTGACTACCTTCAAGACAGATCAATAGAGTAGTTCTCAATGGGACAGAATCAACAAGACACCCTATTGGTGCTAGGGTTCCACAGGGAACTGTTCTTGGGTCATATTTATGGAATGTCTATTTAAATGATCTTCATATCGTCCCAGAGTTTTATGCATATGCAGACATTTACTTTTCCAAGAAATGAAATGCCAGTTGTTATAAGTTCATCAATCACCAGTTAACAGGTATATCAGCCTGGAGAAAACGATGACAGGTCACATTTGCTCTTGAAAACAAATGATGATAGTCTCTAGGCACCGTGTTAATGCTGGAACAGTGGTAAGAAGGAATAGGGTGAAATTTGACTACAAACAATGAAGAACCAATTTGTAAATCTTGCAAATAGTGACCAGGAAGCTTACAGCACACAGAAGTGTCTCGCATCTGTTCTACAGTAGAAATTGCAAGGTTCTGTAAAAGGCACAAGTCTGCTAACATTTTGAGTATTCCCTGCTTTCTTGAATTGTCTCATCCACCATCCATCTCATATGCGACTTCTTTACAGAATAGGGAATAGAGCAAGATGGGTCGTCTCTCGCCTGGGCCATCCTGGACAGATCTGTCATCTCAACAGTTTACAACATCTGGGTCCCTTACAGTTATGTACAAGGACAATATTGTCAAAGTACCACACATGGTTCCACTCCGAAGACAGTGAAAAGTGAACTTATACACAACAAGACGGGCAGCAAACAGCAACTATGACTGTACCCTTCTCCAGAACATCACTTCATCTGAGATCATTTATTTCTAGGATGACTAGAATATGGAACATGTTCGTACAGCATAATGACGTCAACGAAATACATCAGTTGACCAAATAAATTCACTGGCCTACAGATGACTGACACGTCATCCTAATCACTAGTTGTATATCTCTTAATAAATAGGCTTTCAAATGAGCTGATGTAGGTAATCCTAATCCTAACCTTGTAGAATCTTGCATAAACAGAGAGTGAGGGAGAGAGAGGGAGAGAGAAGAGAGAGGGGAGGGAGAGGGAGAGAGAGGGAGAGAGAGGGAGAGAGAGGGAGAGGGAGGGAGAGGGAGGGAGAGGGAGGGAGAGGGAGAGAGACCTTGTCAAACCTGTGTAAAAAAAAAAAAAAAAAAGAGGGAGGGAGGGAGGAGGGAGAGAGAGAGGGAGGGAGGGAGAGAGGGAGAGAGAGAGAGGGAGAGAGAGGAGGGAGAGAGAGAGGGAGAGAGAGAGGAGAGAGAGAGAGGGAGAGAGAGAGGGAGAGAGAAGGGAGAGAGAGAGGGAGGGAGAGAGAGAGGAGGGAGGGAGAGAGAGAGGAGGGAGAGAGAGAGAGGGAGAGAGAGAGGAGAGAGGGAGGGAGGAGAGAGAGAGAGGGAAAGAGAGAGAGAGAGGGAGGGAGAGAGAGAGGGAGGGAGAGAGAGAGGAGGGAGAGAGAGGGAGGGAGAGAGAGAGGGAGGGAGGAAGAGGGAGGGAGAGAGAGAGAGGAGGGAGAGAGAGAGAGGGAGAGAGAGAGGGAGAGAGAGAGAGAGGGAGAGAGAGAGAGAGAGGGAGAGAGAGAGAGAGGGAGAGAGAGAGAGGGGGAGAGAGAGAGAGGAGGGAGAGAGAGAGAGAGAGAGGGAGAGAGAGAGGGAGAGAGAGAGAGAGGGAGGGAGAGGGAGAGAGAGGGAGAGAGACAGAGACAGAGACACAGACAGACACAGACAGAGGGAGAAAAAGAGGAGAGAGGGGAAGAGAAAGAGAGGGAGAGAAAGAGGAGAGAGGGAGAGAGAGGGAGAGTGAGAAAAGGAGTGAGGGCGGATGGTAGGTGACGACTAAAACAAAGCCTGTAGTCAGCAACGTAACATCCCTGGCCATCTCAAGGAAAATGACCTAAGTAACAATGACTCTTCTAAATCGGTTATCACTAACCATTCCATCGCTCAAAACACATGCAGTCCCAAGCAGTCATTTTATATAGTAAATCCTTTCTGAATCAAAACATCTCCACCCTTCATCCTGTCCACCGACTGAGTCACCCTGTAAACTGCATTTTCTGTTCTCTGTATTAGACTGAAAAAAAAAACTGGTTTGACAAATATCTCATAAATAATTGTCCTAGTTACCTACACGTGTGTATTTTTTACGTTCTTGCCGGTGTTACACTGTTCATTGTTTTAAAAAGACAGATAAATTGAGGTTAAAGTAATGCGTATATAACAGTATCATTTAACAGTGTTTATCAGACTTTGTTCTTCGTCAGCGACGAGGATCAGAAACAAGGTAACTTCCCTTGCATATATAATATCAGGTCTTTAATAAAGCATACTGAATATCTCATACAACAATCATCGCCTCTGTTACAATACTAATTATGCGCCACACATCTTCATTCGTAAGTACATAGTGTTTACTAAGTCGAGGAATTAGCACATTTCTGTCTTAATTTGTCTCATTATACATACGGTTAGTTGTACAGTGTTGAGAAACCAATTAAACCTAATAGTGGATAAAGTTTGAAGAGAGTAAATATGAGAACACTCGCTTCTATAGCTTTGGCACAGCCCATACCTCGGGCTGGCCCTATACCTCGGGCTGGCCCCATACCTCGGGCTGGCCCCATACCTCGGGCTGTGATTTGGGCTGTTCCTATACGCAAGGAAACCATCCTCACTCTGAAACGTCAGACAGCACCTACACCTAGTTAGCCACCATTTCGCAGAAGAATCACCCATCCTGGTGACTAAGGTCCAACCGGTACTGTTGCTAAGATAACATTCAGGAAAATCGTTTGTGTGATATACATTTAATACAAAGCAAATGTCACTAAAAAGAGAGCTAAACAAGCAGTACCTATAAAATACACTTAATACACCTGTCATTTACACTCAGTAAATACCATAACTAGGAGTCGTCGTCTGGCCTGCGTGCTATTGCTCCGCGTATGGATGTATTAGTTTGGACTGTGCTCTGATAGTTAAGACTTAAGCCAGTCGGTTTCGTGGTCGTTGTATATTAACTGGATTTCATCAATTGTGACTTGTGTTCGCCGCAACTACCTCGGCGTGTGTAATATGCAGTTGCATTCTTCGTAATATCTAGTGGTTTATTATGTAATGATCGAAACAACATTCAGGCTGATATCAAGAGAATAAATTTCTTCTTCACTCTTCGGTACGCACATCTGAGAGAACTGTTTGATATTGTGTTACAACACCACTTTCTAAAGACGAGTGCAATTTTTTTCTTAATCATTCTTGTGAATTTGTTCTTCATTATTGTATTTTCTAAACCTCTTAATTTCTTTTATGATAGAACTTGGCCAACGACTCGTGACATCGTAATAACACGATTATATATATTCAGAAAATGTTAATAAGGAACATATGTAGTACTAGTGTTGCTCCTGTGTCACACTATGCTACTCCTGTGTCACACTATGCTACTTCTGTGTCACACTATGCTACTTCTGTGTCACACTATGCTACTTCTGTGTCACACTGTTCTACTCCTATGTCACACTGTTCTACTCCTGTGTCACACTGTTCTACTCCTGTGTCACACTGTTCTACTCCTGTGTCATACTGTTCTACTCCTGTGTCACACTGTGCTACTCCTGTGTCACACTGTGCTACTCCTGTGTCACATTGTGCTACTCCTGTGTCACATTGTGCTACTTCTGTGTCACAGTGACGTACTTATCAGTACTTAACATATTTCTAGTCAAGGATCGAGATCGTCGTAAGGCCAACCTAAAATTATTACATGATCACACTTCCCATTGGGTCATGCCCGCCCAGGATTGTTAGGTATTAAGGACACAAGTGCAACTAATGTGACAGTTAATATGGCAACATCGCGTTTTCCTGGATCTTCGGCCTTTTAGCTAACATATTGTCGGTAATTCTAGCAATATTATTAAGGCCCATGATTGCTTTGCTATAGGTCGAGTCCTGCGCTTTACAAATGGAATAACTTAGCTAATACCTCCTTAACTATCTCGTGACTCAAAGAAGTTAATTATGGAAGGATATAGGAAAATACTGGTTTGGTAATAGAGTTGTGGATGAGTGGAACAAACTCCCGAGTACAGTTATTGAGGCTAAAACGTTGTGTAGTTTTAAAAATAGGTTAGATAAATACATGAGTGGTTGTTGATGTGTGTGAGTTGGACCTGACTAGCTTGTGCTGCTGGGTCTGGTACAGTGCTCCATCCTTGAGTGGGGATGACCAGACTGGGTGGGTCATTGGGATAATCCGGGGGGTGGGTCATTGGTCATTGCCTTTTTGTTATTTATTCATTGGTCTAATCCGGGGGGAGGGCATGGACCTGCTCCGCATGGGTCAGTAGGCCTGTTGCAGTGTTCCTTCTTTCTTATGTTCTTATGAAAAAAAAGAGCTTTCGTACGATTTTTCATAAATGTACTGATGTTCGTTATTTGATGCTTTGAAGGATAATTATTTTATTATTCTTGAAGGTTTAGCGCTTTTTTTGATATATAAAAATTGCGCAAAAAATGGGAAGCAATCGGGTTTGATCCAGGGAAAGAGATGATGAGTTCACTTCCTTGGAAGAAGAGCCCCTCGCCTGCATGAAAACGAAAGGTTCTGTACTAATTAATGCTACATAATTCGCTCTATTCCTTTTACTGGAGTGTGACTAACGTTACTATGACCTTCATTGAATTTACAGTGTAAAAGTATTGCATAGCATCCACTTTATATTTTGTGTTCGTATAAATTATACAATTCAATCAACGTGTATAATTTCGTAAGTCTACGTTCAGAAAGTTTCGTGTACCAGAGTGGAAACATGATATTAATAGTGTTATTTCTACTTCACCTCGGTGAGACTTGACTGTGGTGAGACAGGATCAGGATGAAGGTGTCGTCTCTACTACTGTCAGTGACAGTGACTGTCTTCCTGAGTGCGGCCCAGCTTCCTCATCCTCATGGTAAGCGCCTCCTCGCAGTGACTTCCTGACTCTCACCCAACCGTTTTATTTTGATCTTTATTGAAGAAAGTAATATAGAATTATTGCACACAGATGCCAGGGACTTTTATTACAAAATCCCGGTTCGTCAGCTTTTCCTGTCGCAGTCGTCCCGATTTTCATATCTCAGTCCAGGTACTGGATAGTTTTAGTTTATTCCGATTGAAACTCAGGGGAAAATTACGTTAAAAAGTGCTGAACTTGTCAGGAGGCATTGAATGCTGAAGCTAGAATTAAATACTGACTGTTGGAGTTGGCATTCGAAAACAGCAACGTTGAGACGTTTCAGAGTTACGACTCCTTTATCAGAGTAGCAAGGAGAGCAATGTTCACGTGACTGTCGATTAAGATTTATTGAACTCTGAAACAGGGTAGGGAATGTTAGCCAAGCAAGATAACCCGGGGTAGGGGGTCTTAGCCAACCAGGATAACCCGGGGAAGGGAGTCTTAGACACCCAGGATAACCCGGGGAAGGGAGTCTTAGCCACCCAGGATAACCCCGGGTAGGGAGTCTTAGCCAACCACGATAGTAGAGGGAAGGGAGTCTTATCCACCCAGGATAACCAGGGGTACAGAGTCTTAGCCACCCAGGAAAATCCGGGGTAGGAAGTCTTAGACACCAAGGGTAATCCGGGGAAGGGAGTCTTAGCTACCCAGGATAGCCCGGGGTAGGGAGTGTTAGCCACTCAGGATAACACGGGGTAGGGAGTGTTAGCCACTCATGTTAACCAGGAGTAGGGAGTGTTAGCCACTCAGGATAACCCGGGGTAGGGAGTGTTAGCCACTCAGGATAACCCGGGGTAGGGAGTGTTAGCCACTCAGGATAACCCTGGATAGGGAGTGTTAACTACTCAGGTGAACCCGGGATAGGGAGTGTTAGCCACACAGGACAACCCAGGGTAGGGAGTGTTAGCAACGCAGGTTAACCAGGGGTAGGGAGTGTTAGCCACTCAATATAACCCTTTGATGGGAGTGTTAGCCACTCAGGTTAACCCGGGGAAGGGAGAGGTAGCCACTCAGGATAACCTGGGTAGGGAGTGTTAGCCACTCACGATAACCCGGGGAAGGGAGTGTTAGCCACTCAGGATAACCCGGGGTAAGGAGTGTTAGACACCCAGGATAACCAGGGGTAGGGAGTGTTAGCCACCCAGGATAACCAGGGGTAGGGAGTGTTAGCCACCCAGGATAACCAGGGGTAGGGAGTGTTAGCCACCCAGGATAACCAGGGGTAGGGAGTGTTAGCCACCCAGGATAACCCGGGGTAGGGAGTGTTAGCCACCCAGGATAACCCGGGGAACGGAGTGTTAGCCACCCAGGCTAATCAAGGGTAGGGAGTGTTAGCCACTCAGGATAACCCGGGGTAGTGAGTTTTTGTCACCCAGGATAACCCGGGGTAGGGAGTCCTAGTCACCAAGGATAACCCGGGGTAGGGAGTCTTAGCCACCCAGGATAACCCAGGGTAGGGAGTGTTAGCCACTCAGGAAAACCTGGGGTAGGGAGTGTTAGTCACTCAGGATAACCTGGGGTAGGGAGTGTTAGTCACTCAGGATAACCTGAGGAAGGGAGTGTTAGCCACTCAGGATAACCCGGGGAAGGGAGTCTTAGCCACTCAGGATAATCCAGGGTAGGGAGTGTTAGCCACATAGGATAACCCGCGGTAGGGAGTGTCAGCAACTCGGGATAACCCTGGGTACGGAGTGTTAGCCACTCGGCATAACCCGGGGTAGGGAGCATTAGCCACTCAGGATAACCCGCGGAAGGGAGTGTCTTCAACTCAGGATTACCCAGGGTAAGGAAGGTTAGCCACTCAGGATAACCCAGGGTAGGGAGAGTTAGCCACCAAGGAAAACCCAGGTTAGGGAGTGTTAGCCACTCAAGATAACCCGCGGAAGGGAGTGTCTTCAACTCAGGATAACCAAGGGTAGGGAATGTTAGCCACTCAGGATAACCCGGGGTAGGGAGTGTTAACCACTTAGGATAACCCGGGGTAGGTAGAGTTAGCCACTCAGGATAACCCGGGGTAGGGAGTGTTAGCCACCCAGGATAACCCGAGGTAGGGAGTGTTAGCCACCCAGGATAACCAGGGGTAGGGAGTGTTAGCAACCCAGGATAACCAGGGGTAGGGAGTGTTAGCCTCCCAGGATAACCCGGGGAAGGGAGTGTTAGCCACCCAGGATAACCAGGGGTAGGGAGCGTTAGCCACCTAGGATAACCCGGGGTAGGGAGTGTTAGCCACCCAGGATAACCAGGGGTTGGGAGTGTTAGCCACCTAGGATAACCCTGGGTAGGGAGTGTTAGCCACTCAGGATAATCCGTGGAAGGGAGTGTTAACCACCCAGGATAACCCGAGGAAGTGAGTGTTTGCCACCCAGGATAACCCGGGATAGGGAGTCTTAGCTACTAAGGATAACCCGGGGTAGGGAGTGTTAGCCACTAAGGATAACCCAGGATAGGGAGTGTTAGCCACTCAGGATAACCTGGGGTAGGGAGTGTTAGCCACTCAGGATAATCCAGGGTAGGGAGTGTTAGCCACATAGGATAACCGGCGGAAGGGAGTGTCTGCAACTCAGGATTACCCATGGCAGGGAATGTTAGCAACTCAGGATAACCCAGAGTAGGGAGTATTACCCACCCAGGATAACCCAGGGTAGGGAGTGCTAGCCACTCAGGATAACCTGCGGTAGGGAGTGTTCACCACTCAGGATAACCGGGGGTAGGAAGTCTTAGCCAAAAAGGATAACCCAGCTAGGGAGTGTTAGCCTCTCAGGATAATCTGGGGTAGGGAGTTTTAGCCGCTCAGGATAACCCGGGGTAGGGAGTTTTAGCCGCTCAGGATAACCCGGGGTAGGGAGAGTTAGCCGCTCAGGATAACCCGGGGTAGGGAGTGTTAGTCACTCAGGATAACCGGGGGTAGGGAGTGTTAGCCACTCAGGATAACTCTTTGCAGGGAGTGTTAGCCACTCAGGATAACCCTGAGTAGGTAGTGTTAAATACCTAGGATAACCCGGGGTAGGGAGTGTTAGCCACCCAGGATAACCCGGTGTAGGGAGTGTTATCCTCTCAGGATAACCTGGGTAGGGAGTGTTAGCCACTCAGGATAACCCCTGGCAGGGAGTGCTAGCCACTCAGGATAACCCGGGGTTTGGGAGTGTTAGCCACCCATGATAACCTGGGGAAGGGAGTGTTAGCCACCCAGGATAACGCAGGGTAGAGAGTGTTAGCCACCCAGGGTAATCCGGGGAAGGGAGTGTTAGCCACCCAGGGTAATCCGGGGTAGGGAGTGTTAACCACTCAGGATAACCCGAGGTAGTGAGCCTTTGCCACCCATGATAACCCGGGGTAGGGAGTGCTTGCCACCCAGTATAACCCGGGGTAGGGAGTGTTAACTACTCAGGTTAACCCGGGGGAGGGAGTGTTAGCCACTCAGGATAACCAGGGGTAGGGAGTGTTAGCCACTCTGGATAACCCGGGGTAGGGAGTGTTAGCCACTCAGGATAACACGGGCTAGGGAGTATAAGACACTCAGGATAACCCGGGATAGTTAGTGTTAACTACTCAGGATAACCAGGGGTAGGGAGTGTTAGCCACTCAGGATAACCCGGGATAGGGAGTGTTAACTACTCAGGATAACCAGGGGTAGGGAGCGTTAGCCACGCAGGTTAACCCGGGGTAGGGAGTGTTAGCCACTCAGGTTAACCCGGGGTAAGGAGTGTTAGCCACACAGGATAACCAGGGGTGGGGAGAGTTAGCCACCCAGGATAACCCGGGGTAGGGAGTGTTAGCAACCCAGGATAACCCGAGGTAGTGAGTGTTAGCCACTCAGGATAACCCGGAGTAGGGAGTCTTAGCCACCAAGGATAACCCAGGATAGGGAGTGTTAGCCACTCAGGATAAGCTGGAGTAGGGAGTGCTAGCCACTCAGGATAACCCGGAATAGAGAGTCTAAGCCACTCAGGATAATCCAGCGTAGGGAGTGTTAGCCACATAGGATAACCCGCGGTAGGGAGTGTCAGCCACCCAGGATAACCCGCGGTAGGGAGAGTCACCTACTCAGGATAACCCTGGGTACGGAGTGTTAGCCACTCGGCATAACCCGGGGTAGAGAGTGTTAGCCACCCAGTATAACCCGGGGTAGGGAGTGTTAACTAATCAGGTTAACCCGGGGTATGGTGTGTTAGCCACACAGGATAACCCGGGCTAGGGAGTGTTAGCCACTCATGATGGCCGGGATAGCGAGTGATAACTACTCAGGATAACCAGGGGTAGGGAGAGTTAGCCACTCAGGATAACCCGTTGCAGGGAGTGTTAGCCACGCAGGTTAACCCGGGGTAGGGAGTGTTAGCCACCCAGGATAATCAAGGGCAGGGAGTGTTAGCCTCCCAGGATAACAAGGGGTGGGGAGTGTTAGCCACCCAGGGTAACCCGGGGTAGGGAGTCTTAGCCACCAAGGATAACCCTGGGTAGGGAGTGTTAGCCAGTCAGGATAACTCGGGGTAGGGAGTGTTAGCAACTCAGGATAAGCTGGGGTAGGGAGTGTTAGCCACTCAATATAACCCAGGATAGGGAGTCTTAGCCACTCAGGATAATCCAGGGTAGCGAGGGTTAGCCACATAGGATAACCCGCGGTAGGGAGTGTCAGCAACTCAGGATAACCCTGGGAACGGAGTGTTAGCCACTCGGCATAACCCGGGGTAGGGAGTGTCAGCAACTCAGGATAACCCTGGGAACGGAGTGTTAGCCACTCGGGATAACCCGGGGTAGGGAGTGTTACTCACTCAGGATAACCCGGGCTAGGGAGTGTTAGCCATTCAGGATAACCCGGGATAGGGAGTGTTAACTACTCAGGTTAACCAGGGGTAGGGAGTGTTAGCCACTCAGGATAACCCGGGCTAGGGAGTGTTAGCCATTCAGGATAACCCGGGATAGGGAGTGTTAACTACTCAGGATAACCCGGGCTAGGG